TTTCTTTTCTTTTCTTTTCTTTTCTTTTCTTTTCTTTTCTTTTCTTTTCTTTTCTTTGCCTGGTTCATGTAGAAAGTGTAAGGTTGCCCAGGGAGGCATTCTTAATGATGGGTTATGAGTGTGCACTCAGCGCAGTTAAACAATGTATTAAAGACCTGGAAGCCAACAGGACCAGTCTGCTCTACCCAAGAACATTTTTTTGAGCAGTCACACCCCTTTTTACAAACCAGTAAGACACTTACACCACATAACTGTTTCCAAATTCTGAAGAGCACTGACTTGTTTTGGAGGGCTGATACAAAAAAGTCCCCTATGAGCTGAGACCATGCCCCCGTGGACAAGGGGCTACTGAAACTGCAGCTCATGTCCTGCTATGCTTACCCTCTATAAGGATTCAGGGACCTGCCTTATCACTCCTTACCTGGTAAAATACCTGGAAATTCTGATCTTTTTAATGTACAGTTGTTATTAGATCAGTATGATTCAGTTTCCTTGGACGTAGCTAAATTTTGTTACGTGGCTTGTAAAATCAAACAGACTTTGATTGCCCATTAATGAACTCACCACCAATTGTAATATTTTTTATCCTGTTTTGGTTTTACTTTATTTTTATTTTTAATGTTCTGTTTGTAATTCTGGTCAGTGACTGTAATAAAAATTCTATTCTACTAGTGTAAGGTAGAGGTAAGCTGAATCCTGGAAGCTTATGAGAAAAGACATGAGAAAAATAAATGTCCCTTGCTTTACCAATTCTTTTGTACCCAAAGGTACTTTACTTCACATCCTCAAGACTATGAAGGAAAATTCACTTCACTCACATCCACGTTCTCCTTATACCTTGTGATATTAAATTAGATGTCACAGACTGCCTGAAAAATAAGCCAGAGAAGATCAAGAAATAAATGCCCTGGCGTTCCTGCTGTTTCAAGTAGAGCAGCAGGTCACCTAGATAAGGCCTCTAGTTAATTTCTTGGAACTTATTAGATGCAGATGTACAGATGCTCCCTCTTGCACATCATGCCATCTGTTTTTCCGGAGATAATGCTGAATTGCTTCATTTGCCCTACTTTGTTGGGATGGCATCATTGAATGACTACTGTAGTTTGAATGACTAGAATGTATGTAAACTTTACGTTGAAAAGGGTACTCTGATCTCTTGATTGCCAAAGTGCTGTTGAAGGGAAGAATGCATAAGAGGCAACTGTAAAAAATAAATGGAAGGGTACTTGTATCTTAGCAATTAGCATTTTGTGGTTAGAGTAATCACAGCAGTATTTCTGAAATGTTTGCCATATAGTTCACTCGTTTTCAGGAAGGCATTATAGGCATTGTTACGAGAAAGAAATGACATCTTGACTTTTAAAGGAAAATGAAAATTAGAAGGTGCATAAAAATAAAGTTATCAAGTGAAATGTATTGCTACATTGACATTCAAGAACAACCTGGCAGATTTGAAATGAAGAGAAGATATGCAGATATTTTGCTAACACATTATGCCAGAGGTGTACCATGAGCTACTTCTATGGAGACTGCCAACATTTTAGCCCTAGATTCAGGTGGTAATTCCTCTTTGCCCTTGTTAATATGTATACTTTAATTGGGGCAATATTGAATTTAATGGAATGACATGATAAAATAATATATACATATTATGCAGGGATTATATAATGCAGTCCTAGCAATGCATCAAGTAGTGTTGGGTGCAAGACTAATAATAAGCAGTAGTAACAACAAAGATGGAAAGAGCAGAATAAATATCTGGAAAAGAAAACAAAACAAAAAAAACCATGAAGGAAGGCCAGAACGATATCTCTGAATCACACTGTTTTCCTATTAGTTTCCCATTAACTCATTAGTTTTGGTTAGTTTAGGATTAGTTGTTTGGGTGAATTTCATAATTTGAAGGTCATGCTTTGCAGCAAGTGGAACGGCGTTCTCTCTCTCTTAAAAATCACAGGGAAAATTGATGTCATGCTGGAGAGCATTGGATGTGACTGAAGCAAAAAAAGAAAACAGATGGCAGTCAGCAGCATGTGCTACCAGCAGTCCTGGCAACAGCTGTACCTAAAATAGCTTTGGAATGACCACCAAATGCTGGAAAGCACACGAGAACAAATAAAATAGCCAAGAGAGCAATTGCGGTGTAGAACTATCCTTCCCTTCAATATATAGAGATGCAGATGTTATCTGGCGAGTTTTAATTAGCAAACATTTTATTCAATGAAAAATAGTAGCTGAGGATTGATGTCCATTCTATGCCTTACCTTGTGTAATGCAGTGCTTTGGCAATTTGATTTGTACATTGGAGGGATGGGTTCAAATCCCTTGTCGACAATGAACTCTAAGGTTAACATATGCCGTGAAAGTGAATATATGGTAGCATCAGTCTTGTATGTGGTAGTGAGAACATATTGATGCAGCCTTTGCAAGACTTCATTGCTTCAGATTCTATGTGAAATGAAGGGTTATGTGTTGAAATGCTTTTGCTAGGATGAAAGACCCTACCCGGATACCACAAGAAAATATCCAGTCATATGAAAAGCTAGATTAGAATACTGTTCCTGATAAAAGTGGGCATAAACTTAATAAAAGGGCAACTCCCTGGTGATATTTCAAAATATTTGGTCATGTTATACAAAAACATGCATCAACTGTGATTACCCCGTACCCCTATGTCACAACTGGGAGAATTATCTAATGGCAAACAGTTTGCTTTTGATCATTTATGGGTCATTATTGCACATTGTTGTTATAAATGGGTTCTCAGCGTTCATCACCTTGTGCAGCTGCTCCTCATGACTTTAATTATATTTCTAACTGCAAAGAGACAGGATCTGGCCTTCCTTGTTCTGGCTTGTGGTTGCACTAATGCACATATCTGCATCTGAGACTTCTTAGAAATATTTGATTTGATTTTAGGATGCATTTGATTTTTCTTCACTTGGTTTTTGTTCATTGAAGGATGAAAGCCACCCCAGAGTCTTTCTTGAGACAAACTGTTTTAATGTTTATCCTGTGTGTTTTTCTAAAAATAAATACTTTCTACTTCAGTGGTTTTCATATTAAAACAGTAACAACCAGTCTTCTTGTAATCGATTTAGAAATTGGTCTTTTGGGGTACTTCCAAGTGCCTCATGAGGTGTCTTTTGAAAAAAACAAGAAGAAGCAATGTGTGAAACTCCTTTAGCTGTTCTGCTCCTATATTTCTGTTGCTACCTCATTTGTTCATCCATAAGAAGTATTATTAATTTTTTATTAAATTATTAAATTATTAAATTAAAATAAATAAATAGATAAGTAAGAAGTAGCCTTCTGCTTTATCAAATTGTGAGGGTTGGGAAGAGTGGGGGACAGGATTCCTCAGATTCCTCTGTTAAAAATGTAATTCAGAGGATGGCAACCAACAGGGCAAACATCTCTCTAATCAAGGCTTCAGTTCCCAGGAAAAAAAAAATCTGACATCATAGTGAGGCTGTAATTAGCAGCAGCACAGCCTGCTGTTCCTTCGCTCTAATTGGGAAGAAGACAAAATACCATTTTAGATTCCCTTGTGTCTGGAAAGCTGTAATTGTTGCAAATGAAGGAAAGCTGGCCTAAAATGAGGTCTTGGGAACAGAAATTAATGACCATACCCTCTTGGAGGAGTTTTGCCTTTTCATTATCTTATATGCTAGAATTCAGGCTTGGTTCATTAGGGACTAACAGTTCTAGCTAGCAGCAAGAAGGGTGAGAACGGGTATAGCATCCTGCACTGAACATCCTACCCACTATGCTTTTCTACATGGATGCATTCTCATCTTTTCCATTTATCTTTACATTTTACATACCTGTTTCCTGCCAGGTAATTGGAGAGGGTTGGCACCATCCCATCTCATGTT